TATGTTACCTATTAAATTTATATTGGTATTCACTTTTCATTTACACAAATTATACAGACGTGTACATGTTTTTAGCCAGTATATTTTTTAAAAATATCTCATTATTTAATATTTTGATAGGTAAATAGTTTTAAATCGTGTTTATAACTGGGTAATCCGTACCTCATTTTCCCAATCTTTTAGTAAAACTATTTGAATATATAAGCCAGCGAATACTTCCTCGAGAAGGGGCTGGTGAAAAATGATCCACTGGCACCACTGAGCGCATTTGAAGCATTGCCACTTTTAGGGGCTTTCCTTTCTGGCCATCAATTTGGATTTTTTTTGGAGACAGTAGAGAGAGGCGTTAGTTTTCCTTAGGATGGAAGAGGGGAAGCTGTGCGACAAGTTTGCCGGCAAAATGCAGTCGAAGCAGTCAGATGCAAGTGCAGGCCGATCCAAGCTGATTGTGAGATGTCGATGTGGATGTGGATGTGGATGTCGATGTGGATGTGGTTGTCGATGTCTCGGGTGCTGAGGTAATGCTCTCTTTCGGACTCTCTTTTTCTTCGGCTCTGGGAGCTTGTTTTGTCCGATATCGCGGCTCTCCGAGATATGGCGGCAAATATATCTGCACACTTGGACCACAATTACCTAGAGCCGACTCTGTAATACGTTCAGTTCTCATTTCGATTTCCAGTGGTGCGATCGTGCGCTTCGCTACCTTGCCGGTGGTGCCACCTCATTCTCATCCTCCCATCTTTGGGTGTTTGAGATCGCGAATCGGAATCGGATCCATTATCTAGTATCCTTAATATCCTTGCTAACGATCGTGCTCGCGTGTGCGTGTGTGTGTGTGTGTAGATGTGCCTGCAGTGCACTTTTACTCAAGACACTTGATTTAATTTGGAATTGTCAAGTAATTGCCGACACAGAGAGAAAACATAACAATATCTAGTTTAAATTTAAGCACGAAAAAGTTGCAAATTTATTTTACTTTCGAAATAATAATAAAATGTAGTATGCTTTCAAAAAAGTCCTTTAAATGACTTTAATATGATTTTTAATGAGAAGATTCCTCTTTTAATATTGTAATATTTTTCCTCTGTGTGGCATAAAAATGTAAAAAATTCTTTGAAAGGACCTCCATCTAACGAAATAAATACTATCAAAAACCACAGCTGACATCCCTTCTACCAATTCCCATTTCGAGTTTAAAGTTCCTCAAAACAAGTCTGACAATATGATTTCGCATATCGATCGAGTAAATATGAGTAATAGCTCTTAATTGCAATTATTTCCGCCAACACCTTCTGTTTGCCAAGTGGCAATATTGATTGTAGCTTTGGCTCAGTTAATGTTTAATCTGCCAACCGGATGGCCATTAAGCTAAACTGCCACCAAATGCTTATAATTTAGTTTGTTCATCAAATCACTATTTGTAGCCACTCAAAGTTGTGTAAATTTTGATGGAGAGCAAACAGAATTCGTAAGATTTGTGAGGAACAAATACTAGATGGTTGATCTATAATAATTGTTAGTGGGTAACACCCACATTAGAAAATATTTAGCTGTGATATTGTGCTATATTTTATGTGCGTGAGACATTTCAATGCTCTCCGAGAATAACGACAAAAGACATTATAAATATTTTACCCAATACTTCTTGGCTGCAGTCCAGACATATAAAGATCTATATAGTGAAAATTGCAATCATAATTATGCATGCAAACATTTTTGCTTTGATAGTTTTGTTTTGGTAGAACTTCAAGTCATCGTGTTTCTGGGCTAACCTTCAGATTTGTGCTCGAAATCTAAATTACTAACTGTCATAATTGGACTCTTATTAGTATGAGAGAATTAGCAACTGGCTAAAAAAAAGAATCTTTTTTGTCAAAGTTTAGAGTTAAAATCATCAGAAATAAGATCATTTTCATATTACCAAAAACTATATGACTAATAGTGACAAAAATATATTTTAACAAATTTTGTGTCTAATGTGTCCCGTTCTTTTGGAATTTTTGTCAAGAAATATCAAACTGTATTTAGCGAGAGTTCCTATACAAGTGCAGCCCCTATAAAATATTTTCACTTTTTACACTATGAAAAAACTGTAGCAATTTTCACATCGTTGCTGGAACATGTTACATTTATTAATTTATTCAAAATTCAGCCGAAAAGAAAAGCCAGAAATTCCTGACAAACGTGTAGACAAGTTGGTTAAAAAAATCAAGAAAAACGCAACTGCCGGAACGGCCAGGTTAACCCAAAATGCCTTACATGGCTTGACTTACTGCCATGGCAGACAGTTTGAATACTTTACTTTGCCTTGTTGTTCAGACAAGTCATAAATATATATATGTATATATGCACAGCCAGCTGGGGAGTTTTCCTTCTTCAGAGCTGGGAGCTTGGAGGATTGTGGGCGTTGTTGACATGACTCGCGGCGCAGGCCAATAATTATTATAGAATACTTGGTCTATAGGTCTATGAGGTGAATTTACATATGTTGGCCTGGCACAAATGGGAAGTTTCTCGCCCTCTTTGAAACATGCAAATTGGACACATTTCACACGTTTGTCTAGCTCCTAGTTGATACACTTTTCCTTTAAGCTGGTGAAAGAGGAACTAACAGTTGCTAATTTCGGTTAATTAGCTTGCGCCTTTTAACAAATGAAAGAGCTAAGTAAACCGCTTGGGCTATAGACACTCTCTTGTTTATTATGCAATAAAAATGCATACAAATGTGCACTAATTGTTGCATGTCGCCCCTCGAAAGGGTTATTTTCTCACTTTTTTTTTGAACCACTTTGTTTCGTGACGCTTTGAGAGATTCGAGGTGGGCCAAGTCCACTCAAGAGTTTAATTTTTTTGTCCCTGCTGTCATCTCAAGTTTCCGGTTCGGAGTACTGAAGATCAGATGAAGACGATGCCAAGTCGTCTGGTGTCTGTGTCTCGGTTAAAAGATTTGGTTATGCTTTAAAAAAAAAACGTAAGAAATATAGTTCAACTTTTTGATGACGAAGACCACTTTATTTAAACCGAGAGTTGTCTATATTTCTCTAGTTTGTACTAATTATTGTTAAAGATAATAATAGTTTGTCAATATACTTGAGTTATTATATATTTGTATATTTTAAAACATAATAAACATAATACATAATAGCCCCTCAACAATTTTATTTGACTATGTCAGAGACTTTTAATTTTAATTGTAATTACATTTGTATTTTTTCTTACACCGTTTGTTGATTTTTTATTATGTCAAAATCGCATTTTTGTTGTATTTATTTTTTTGGTTTACTCGAGTTCGTGCTTTTTTGTATTTTTGGGCATAATACTTGTTGTTGCTCACATTGTAGTGAATGATTCGCTGGCTATCATTTTATTTCTGTTTTACTTAATAAAGTAATTAATGAAGTAACTAATAAACGATTATACGGTAAATTTAATAGAAAATGTAAAAAGTAATTAATATTAAATTCTGAAATTCAGCTGTAATTTCTAAAAAAAAACACCAACAAGAGACACCATTTGAACTAAATAAAAACAGACTAGGCAAATACGTTTTATTTGGGTTTATATTTTCTTTGTACTTAAATCCACATTTAACTCTTGCGACGGAAATAGGAAAACCCAAAGAAAAGAGCAAAAGTAATCTGATTGCGACTTAATCTCGTGCATAAAGAAGCAGGAAATCCACATGTGCAAGCGTTTTTATAGGCAACAAAAGAGCTGCAGCCATGACATAATATATGCCTACAATAAATGTACTATATGAACACGAGAACAAAGTTTATTCAGCCCCCCAATTTATTATGCGAATTGTTGAAAGCGGTCAGTGACCAAGAAATGCCTTAAAACATTGAAATGACGAATATATTTTGGCTATCGCTACCGAAAATAATTACACTTATCGCGTTCTCAACTTGACATAATTTGATCAATTTATTTATAAACTGTCAACGCCCCCGCAAGATTTTTAAAATCACCTATTTGACACAATTTTTGTTTTCATATACATTTCCTTGAATGGCATATATGATGCATTGTACTTTTCAGCCTGGTTAATTAGTTTGATGGCTTTTACATTTGCCCTGTCAGATCTCTTCTGACACGAGCATCTTAAAATCATTTTTACACAAAAATGTCGACATAATTGCAAAAATATTTTTATATATTAAATATATATATTTTCAAAGCTGTAGCCATAATGACAAAGTTGAGAAATTATTTTTCTATTTATAATCTTGTTGTCTTAAAATTTGTTTTGATTCTCAGATTTGAAAGCTCTCAGTACTGTGAATTCCCCAAAATGATTAAAATAATTGTCACTAAGTTCAACTAATAAATATGCGATTGCTATCACGTTTGCCTTTTAAATGTGGATCATCGAGTTCTCTGAGTGATGTCTGGTTTTTTTTGCCTCCCCTTTTAAAGTTTCCCATACGCTGACGTTTTTCACAGCTGCAATGAGTTCGCTCTTAAAAAAAATTAAAAACAAAACGTTCTCATTGTGAGTTTGGAGTATTTGTTTCCATATTTACACACTTCGCACCTCCGTCATTCAAGTATTATGGCTTGCTCTAGATATTTACTTCTCGGCAATCAGCTGGATAAGATTTCAACGTGGCTTATATTTCGATTCTGACTTGGTTTGCGGATACAGGCGAGTGAGCTATTAAATCTATAGCAGGGTCACAGCTGTGGTTGTTTAATCAACGAATACGTAATTTAACAAATAAATTATCACCCGCAATTAGAGCCCAAAAAATTTAATGTAAATAAAATGATGCTACAATTCGTGATGAAGTTCATTTGTTGTGAGTTGAAAAAGCTTAAAACAAACCTGACCATGTTTCTAATATTCTTCTGGATTATATGGTTCTCGCAAATAATAGCCATATCAACAGTGTTCATGAGGTGGGATATTAAACGACCTTCAAAGTCTTAGAATATACATACCTAAAGACCTACATATGTACATTTATATCTAGATATTAATTTCACAATTTTTTCAGCTTTCCAGAGATCATTACGGAGCTGCCGACGGTCACAGTTACTGAGCTGCCTCTGGATCGAGTGAAGAATCGCCTGGATTCGGTTATCCTGGATGATTCCCAGGTTGCAGCGAGCAACCATAGTGATGAGAATCAAGAGCAACAGCAGCATCCTCATCAGGATGAAACTCTGCAATTGTTTGAGGCAGACAAAGAAATCCCTCAAAAGGGTAAGAATATGTTAAATCTATATTTAGGATTAGCGTTGAGAGTGATATTTTATTTGAATAATTTTCTAGTTTAGACAAATATTATTTGGATCACTTTCTTGAAGCTTCAAGCTTATCCTATTAATATATTCATACGAAGTCTAAATAATTAAAACTTCTATTTAAACCCTTTTAAATGCTTCTTAAATGCAAATATCTAATTAATTTAAAGAAAACATTATTTTACCCATTATTTATTTTTTTTTTTATTTGTTATAAAACTATTTTTATATTTCAGATGAGCAAATGCCGAAGATAAACGATCCCGGAGGAGGCATCGAATTGGATGGACTAGCCACACAGGAAGCTACGCCTGCCGTCGAAGGGAATGAGACCAGCGAGGAGCTGCAGGCTGCAGGAGGATCGCCAGGATCGCCTGCATCCAATGACACAGACGCCGCGGCGAATCTAACGAATGCCAACGAGGAGGTGCCCATGCCGGTGTTCTCAGAGTGGGCGCAAAAGCAAATGGAGGCGGAGGCCAGCCGGGAGCAGGCAATGGAACTGGAGCAGCAGGTGGTAAATAATTCCGCCCAACGAAGAAATAACACGGGATCATCGACCGGAAAGCCACCGACGCTGAAGCTGCGATCTAAGAACTATGCATCGCCGGATTGCGGAGCCAAGATCATCGCACACAATTCCGAGTCCAAACATACGGAAGCCGTGCTTACCCAATCCACAGATGAGTACATGCTGAGTATTTGCGAAAGTCGGATTTGGTTCGTCGTAGAGCTGTGCGAGGCCATTCAGGCACAGAAGGTGGATGTGGCCAACTATGAGCTCTTCAGTTCGTCCCCGAAAAACTTTACGGTGGCCGTTTCGAAGCGATTCCCCACCCGAGACTGGAGCAATGTGGGTCGCTTTGCGGCGGAGGACAAGCGAACAATTCAGACCTTCGAGCTACATCCTCATTTATTTGGAAAATTCGTGCGCGTGGAAATAACCTCGCATTATGCCAATGAGCATTTTTGTCCACTTTCGCTATTCCGAGTGTTCGGCACCTCCGAATACGAGGCTTTCGAAACGGAAATCCGACCTAGCGATGACATGGATGATTTCTACGATGACTATGGAGCGCAAGAGCAAAAAGCAGCTGTGGGAGGTGGTGGCAACATCTTTCAGAGCGCCTCCGATGCAGTTATGCAAATGGTTAAGAAGGCAGCCGAGGTGCTGGTGAAGCCCACAAAGGCTCTGAAATGGTCAGCGGAATCTCTGCTTTGCCAAACGCCTGCATTTGGTTCCTACAGCTGCAGCAATTGCAATAGCACTTTGGTGGAGAGGATTAACAGCCTTGTGTCCTGTCAATTCCAGCAGCTTCAAGTGCTGCTCAGCATCAGTCGTTTGAGGACAGATCTCCTACAGAGTCGCGTGTGCCAGGAAGATTTCGGGATAAGTTTGATGGGCTCAGATTTTTCGAGTAAATTGGGCAAGGAGCAGAGCTATTTCCTCAGCATGCTGCCAGCGGAACACATTGGAGCCATGTGTAAAGTGATCCAAGCGGAGCAGAATGTAACCGATCAACAGCAAACGAAGACGCCAGCCATAAAGCACCATGTCAGCTCAGCAGAAAAACTACAAGACAATGCCACAGCTGCCGGAGTTCGTCAGGACTGTGAGGGCAGCGAAGGAAGTGCAACAAGAAAAACCCCCGAGAAGGAACCCCCTACACCCAGTCTGGAGGTTGTGGTGCCCGAATCCAGCCAAGAAGTGCCTTCAATGGAAGATAAGTCGTCGAACTCCGGCGAAACAGTTTCCACTACAAACTCTACGCCAGCCGATGTCAATATATTCAATGTGCCTGCGGAATCCGAGGAAGTGGTGGTCAAAATGCAGCTCCCGCCGGAACCAACTCTAACAACCACTTTGGAAGCCAGCGATTTGGAGTCCTCCACCAACGCTCCGAGTCCCAATGTGCCGCAATCCTCTAGTGAAGCTTCGGCAAATGGAGACCTAGCAATTGAGGAGGCAAATCCCAATAATTGGGAGAGTATTGACAATCTTCTGACCACCACGGTGGCTTCAATTACCGCTGGCGGTGGAGCAGCTGCCGCTGCAGCAGCTGTGGTAAATGGCAACGGCAATCTTGGAGTGGCAGGCGCCACCGGGGCAGGAGGAGCAGTCACGGGATCCGGTGTAAATCTGCAGCAGAAGCTGACAAATGGCGGGCAGTCGGAGAGTGTGTTCATCAGGCTTTCCAATCGCATAAAGGTGAGTGCTCCAAGCATACTCTTTCAAGTGGGTTTCCGCCCATTCATGTGCGTCATCAGTTGGTGTGGCGAATAATACAGAAATTAACAAAGAACCAAACTAGAAACTAGCTTGGCAACCACCCACGTATTATGAAGGGGGGACAGTAAATTATACACTTGCAAGGAGTCATGTAATTATGTTTGGAACCTGGTGTTAACAGAATTATGCATCAAAGAAACTTACTATACTTCTTTTAAGAGCAAGTGGCCTTTGATTAAAGATCTTTCAATACCCTTTAATGCCAAAAACGTTTAGTAACTTAGTAACTTAGTATTAATATTCTTAGATAGTGAACGATTGAAGACCTTTAATTCTCATATTCAAATCAAAAAACATAAAATATTTCTATTTTTAAATGCACCCTTTTTATATTTAATTATAAAAATTACTTTTGCAATTTTCGTACTCTAAATAAGACCTGATTGATTCAATATTATCCAATAGTTCCTGTCTTATGCACTCGTTGCCAGGCTTATTTTTGAAAGTGTCTCTAGGATTTCCTTAAGCTTTCAGAAACACAACCAACTTTCTAATCCAACAAAGTGTATCCTCCATTCGCCTCTCGGCTTTCCAATATCTTTTGACTTGTTTATAGTCAACTTGCGTGCTGGCTGCTCATTACAAGCGGCAGCCACTTCCCGTTTTTGGACTCCGCCGAAGGACTGTGCGGTGCTTCATCCTTGTAACAGTTCTGCCAGCCGATTCGCTACCTTGCCGACCGACGTCATCAATATACATATGCGAAACCATTCGAAACCATACTAAAACTACACAAATAAAAATTGCATACGGGTTACTGAGCAATCTGTGTAATAGCAGAAATAATATTAAAAAAAAAGTTTTTGTTTTAGCTTCAGCAATTGAATTTGTTAAACAAAAGCAAAGGCTTAATGTTGGTTTTTATTCATTTGAAAAAAATCGATTGCCTTTTTATCGTGTAATCGTGTAACATCTAAGTGATATTTTGAGAAGGCTTTAATTGTTGTAAAATTCTTCTAGCTAATATTGTTTCGACTTGAATTTATATTGAGCCTGCATTCTAACTTAATTTTTCTTGTGTACCACCCACAACATTCGCTAACCGCTGGCGTTGAACGACGCTTTCTGTCTTTTGCAGGCGCTCGAACGGAACATGTCGCTATCGGGACAATATCTGGAGGAGCTCTCGCGGCGCTACAAGAAGCAGGTGGAGGAGCTGCAGCAGACGCTGACACAACAGACCCTAACGGTGCGCCAGCTAGAGGACCAGAGCCGGCGCTACGTTGAGCAGGAGCAGCTGTATCAGCAGCAGAGTGCCGAGCTGGCCGGCGAGGTGAGGGCGCTCTCCTACCAGGTGCAGGCCTGCATCCTGGTCATCATTATCGTGGGCACCTGCATCTTCCTCATGCTCGTTTTGGGCACCGTCTACTATCGCAAGTTGCGCCGCCAGCAGCAGCAGCTGTTAAAGAAGGATCAGCCGGGCAATCCACCGGTGGCTATCAGACCCAAGCTTGATCGCCGTAAGTCCTACGAACAGATGCCCAATCAAACCACGCCCAAGCAACGGCGTCCCAGCGAGGAAGCCATGCTTATTCTGAAAGAGTGCGGCGACAGCAACTTGCAGGAGCAGGATCCGTCGAACAGGCAGCGCAAGATTTCCGTTTGCTACGGCAGTAACAATAATATAGCCGCCAATATGCTTAATTCAGTCACAAATGGCAGTGGAAATGTTCGGGGTTCTCTGCACAGACGCAAGGGAGCCAAGCACTCCTGGCATAACAGTCTGGACACTACGGAAACGTACTGCGGCGAACAAACGGACAAGTTCTTCGATGTGGGTAAGTACTTGATAAAGTAGCCACCGATTAAAACAAAACATAAACAAGTAATTCCCATTTCAGATACCCTTAAAAGTATAAAGCAAAGCTCCAGCAAGGCGGGCAAAAAGAAATCCCAGCAGAAACAGCAACAACTGGCTCTCAAACGTCAGGAATCTGCGCCCGCCAGCTTCACGCAGGATGAACTTGCCGAAGAACCGGCCACGCAGAGCGACTTCGATGAGAGCCTGATGCTGGACGACGATGATCTGGCCAACTTTATACCCACCACCGATTTGGCCTACAATGAATTCATGCCCGAAGGACCCTCGGGCTATCAAATACTGGACACAGTGGATGGGAAAACCGGAAAGGAACAGAGGACTAAGAAATCGCGTCGGCTGTCCTCGCCGGCTTTCTTCAAGTCACCATTTAGCAAGAGCAAAAACAAGGGCTACAGCTTCAATGGCATCAAGAACAGCCACTCGGTGCATGAGCCCACATCCTGGGAGTGGTACCGCCTGAAGCGAGGCGAAAAGCACCAGCAGCAACAGCAGGCTAAGCTGGCCAGCAAAAGCTTGCCCAGCGCCAGTTTAGATAGCTCGTCGCTGTCGGAGGTCAATTTTCCCCTCAACTCGAACACCGCCACGCAAAATTCCTTCCGGATACTGGGCGAGGCCATTCTGTCCTCCGGGGAGGGACGCATCACCCCGAATGGGAATGGCAATGCAACACCGGGTGCTCTGGCCAGTAGCAGTAGCGGAAGTGGCAGTGGTGGCAGCACCACCTCATCCACCACCAAGAAGAAACAACGCGCCTTTAACAACCTATTTCGCAAGGCCTTTGATTTTTAGTTACAACCCAGTGTTTCGATCTAATTAACGTTTTTACACCAGCGCATATTGTAATTATTCTTATCGATTCGGATAGACACCGTTGCGTTCGGCCAGCCATTCGATAAATTGTTTGTACAAAACGAATTGTTATTTTTTGAGGATTATAAGAGGCCCGAGAAGTGAAGAAAAAGTGAGAGTTCCTTTTGTGTTGCAGTGAAATGCAAATGACTGTTAAGCGAAAAACAACAAATTTAAGTATAGTACTTATATATTTTGTAGTGTGCTTGCTTGCTAGTTTAAACCAGCCTAGGTTAATTGTGTACGTATATTCCAAGCCTCGTCGTTCTTGCTATATTCGCCCAAATCCCACGATTATGTACTTTAAGTGATGAAAGAAACATTTGCAAATTATTGCCACATTTAGTTTGTTATTCTTAGCAATTTCTATATACAATTAGTTAATAGATTAGTCTTTATTTATAACTAAATACAATTAACATTTATTTAAAAACGTAATCGTTCTTGCTAATGGGTCTTTATAAAGATTATATTTTCAACTCGCTTAGGAACTCTGCTACCTCGAGGGCATCGTCGCTGGCCAGTTTTGTTTCTTTGACGGCACTATTCAAACCTCGGCCAGCGGTGCCCATGCTCTTTTTCCACTGTTCGACAGTTTTGTACTTTTCATCATTGGCACAGTAGATAATCTCATTGATGTCTTCGTCTAATTTGTAGCTGCACACAGCGGGGAAGACTTTGTGCAGATTGTCGAGGGCCTCGGCACGAAGACTTTCATCGCGACACACAAGATTGAGCATGAAAAGACCTTTAGGCCCTATGATCTCCTTGATGTGCTGCAGGATTTTGTTGGCTAGAAAACTTTGGGGCGGGCAACTCATGCCCAGGCTAAGATCCTTGCTGTCAACATCAAACAAAACGGCATCGAAGTGAATATCTGGGAAAGGAAACACATCACATTAATATATCCGTTAAAATCGAATTCATAAGTTCTCACCTTCATTGCAACAGCGCTCCACAAACTGTAGCCCATCATCAATAACCACATGAAACCGTTGATCCTGCTTGAGCTCGAAATACTGCTCAGCCACCTCCAACATAATAGGATCAATTTCCACAGCCGTAATTCTAGCATTACTGTAATGGTTTTCGGATAAGAAAAGTAACCTTGATATACTTGGTGTGAACCTACGGCAAAGCGGAATGAAGAAAGCTGCACAGTCCACCACCGCCCAAGCCAATGACCAGAACATCCTTTTCCACATCCTTCTTGGGATTCTGCAGTGTGGTGGCCAGCTGAACACCGACGGACATGTACAAATGATGTTGACATGCCAAGTAGCCAAAGTCGATCTTCTTGCGCTCCTTTTTTCCTTTGATTTTGACTATAAATAATTATAGGCATGAAACAAATTTAAAAAAATATATTTGTTCTATAATTACCTGTTTTGACTAGGGCTTCCGACTGTACGACAAACTGATTGCTGAGGAAAATAAGGCGTCGCAGGGTTTTGCCGTTGGCCTCCACTTCCTCGATGCGGAAATCTCCTGATATTTTTGAGAAGCCACAGATGAGAGTCTCCCTTTTACCCACATCAGATCCGAGAGATAGATATGGAATCTGTTCACTAAGTCCAGCCGGCGATAGGTTTTTTATGCTATCGGCCAACTCTACTTTAACTTCGTCCAGCGTACTATAAACCTGATCGCGATGAAGGGTAACCACAGCCAGTCGCTGGAAGTTTGCGGAATCCTGGAGCTTTTTCCGGCCAACAGGCGTGGCAAATAGCCACTCCACCTCCCTTCCCTGGGGAACAATGAACGCCGCATACTTGCCCAGTCCTCGGGCTGGTGGCTTATCCAGAATGTGGATCGTATAGCGAGGAGTTTGCTCCGAAGGTCGGTGCAAATCCATGATTACTTCGTTGTGTCCAGCTATGTTGGATCTGGCCAAACCGTTGCAAACTAAAGCGGCCTTTTGTACAGAGGAAACGGCGCTATTCAGTTCGGAGGTTGTGGCGAACCTCTGCATCTTATCGTTACCGAAACCGAATTCGAGAATCTGGAAATGAAAAATTTATAAATTAAGTCTTATGCTTATTTTTAATTAAAACTAATTTTACTAACTTTAGTTTGATTTTGTTAATATTTTTTTAAACTGTATTGAACATAACAATATCTATTGATAGAAAAATATAATTCGAATGTAAGAAAAACATGTATTTATAAAGTGCTTAATGGAAATGCAGTGTTCCAAAGTAAATAGCATAAAACAAAATGGAACCATTAAATAAACTAATTGAACGAAGGTATTCGGAAAACCATGAGACGTTTTTAAATACAATTCCAATTCTTAGAATATACTTACAGGCATTGGAAGACTCTTGAACTTGGTGGCAACAATAACAAAAACGGGCAGAGTCAAGGCATCGTCGGCATTCTTCTCCTTGTTGGCCTGTTCCACTCCCAGGCAGTGGACAATTCGCAGCATACAATTATGCTTGGGCAGGAACTCCAACAGGAAGGTAAGGATGTGCTCTTGCAGAAGAGAGATACCTACATAGCGACCACCATTGCTAAAATATAAAAATGGGAGATAATAAAAATGTTTCTCTTAAAAAAGGGGTAAATGATTATACCGCATTGTCCTTAGTATCTCCTTGAAGTAGTTTTCCACCACCAGACGAGTTTGGGGAGCATCATCTGCAAACAGTGCGTCCAGTGTTCCTTTGTCCAAAGCCACTGAGAAACTTTCATCTGGGAAAGTCATGGCTGTGGCATCCATTTGCAGGAATTTCATATCGGGTCGGGATTTGGCATTCAGATCCAACATTTTCTTTACTGCGACGGGTGAGATATCAATGTTTGTAATTTCCCTGTTAAGAAGAAACAATTTATTTGAATATAACCGTTTGCGTAAAGGATTAAAATCGGAATTTTAAAAGTATTAATATTAAAAGATTAAAAAATACAAATGATACGATAAATTGATATAGACAAATATAACAAATTTTCAAGTGAGGGAATACACCAATTAAATATTATTTTTATTTTAATATTTATCATGGAAATATAGTTTAATGGCTTGAGAATATTTACCGAAATCCCGTGTCGTACATATCCATACTCAGTTTGGAGTTGCCGCATCCCAGCATCAGGATCTTGTCCACCGGCTTAATATATTTGTGGATCTGATCGCATAACTCCAGATATTCGCCATACCTTTAGAATTAACATAATTATTAGTTGAGCAAAAAACACATGTTGCTGGAGTGTTCCCCAAAAAAGGCTTTAAACTTTAACTGCCCATAAACATACCACTCAAAGGCCTTTTCGCCCCGCTTCTTGAAGAACTCGTTCCAATAATCCGTCTGAGCGAATTCCTCCCGTGTTTTGGGTAGTAAATTCATTGCTTTTAATAACAATAAAAAGGATGCAAAAATAAACAATAAAGCGGCAAAGTGTGATTTAGAGGTGGGGAAACATCGATGTCATCGATGATTTTAAAACATCGGTATAATCGATACATGGCTTTTTTTTCAGCAAAATTTCAAGCGCTCTGCCGTGGTTTTTTTTAAATCTTAGAGTAGAGAGACAAATAAGTTTAACTTAAATTATATTCGAATATAAAACCAAATGCTTTGGAATATACAACGTTATTTATTATAAAGAGTAATTTCATTTTCAAAATGAAATATAATTGCAATGTTTAGACTGAAAACATTTGTTTTTTTTTTAATTAAAGGACTTAAAAAACTTTATCCGCTTTAGAGCACTGCATCCATCTCTTAGTGTGACCCTGTCGACCGACAATCTCTGCGATTAGCCATTCACAGCGACTAGTCGACAGGCACTGATTGGACAATTTCTTTGCTGAAAGCAACTGCCAAACAGTTTTCTTTGCTCAAATCGCCATTTATATAACGATTTGCAGGGATTTTCGCGATCCCAAGAGTGCTTGATATCAGTCCCCATGGTGAGGTGTCCCGTGGACTAGGAATCGGCCCAGAAAGCAGGCGAAAAGCGAGGTGAAAGCAGGCGACACTTCGATCAAGAAAAGGGGGAGGAGGCGGTTCCTCTAAAGAAATCGAATCCAAACGAGAACTTAACCACTTGGCAGCGAAATGGAAAATCACTAAGGCATTCGGCAGATGCAAAGGGGACTAGGATCGCGGTCCAGACTGGGATTGGGAATCGATTTGGAAGCCGCAGCGCGGTGTAAATGCGTGCGGCCGTTGGCCTGATGCTGTCGCACGGTGGTGGTGTTGTGGAGCCAGCGATGTCCCGGCCGGATTACGAGCAGAGCGCCCTGCACCACAGCTGCCTGCTGGTGCTGCTTCGCGGCGTGGGACCATCGCGAGCCCGCATCCTCCAGCGGGCGTTCGAGAAAGTGCGACGTGTCAGCCACATCCGGGTGAATGGTGGGTGCTCCTACTCAAATTTCTTTCAAACCCTTATAATCTTCATTGAAATCCTTCACAGATTCTGCTGGCAATCCCCGCTCTATTTGGATCCGCTTCGTCCATGATCACCCCGTGGAGCACAACGATTGGGGCGACTTTCAGACCCATCGTCGTCTGCTCGGACTCATCACCATTGGCAAATTCGATAACCAAACAGAACTCAATGAGCTGTGCCGCCAGCACGAGTCCCTGAAAGTTCGCTATGGATCCACTCTGTACGAATCCCGTGCCATTTTCTTTGGACCCGATGAAACGCCCTTGGAAACCATTGGCGAGGCATTAGCACCACCACCAGCTGGAGGCCGTCGCCTTCAAGATGACTTCACTACGCCCTCGAACTTCAAAGCACAAGCATTTTTCTATCGCGAACAGGATTCGTGTGCGGATCTAGAATCTCGAATTGGGGACTTTGCCAGCGCTTTGTTTTGGGTCCTCGAATCGCGACGTTTGGAGCGATCGCGAGAAAAAGCGGACAAGGTGAGCCTGCTGCTGGCGCCCTTCGAAAAACGCGACTTTGTGGGTCTGGACATGGAGTCGAGAAACAATAGAAAAAGGTGCGTAGGTCGAGTGATGAAAAACCTAGCAGATCTGTCGCTGCAAGCCGGTCTGGTGGACGATGCCCTGAGTTTGTACCACAATGCTAATGAGACCTTGAGGTCGGTGGGCGATTCCCTGTGGGTGGGTGCAACAGAAGAGGGTCTGTGTGCTGCCTCAGCGATACTCTTGTATCCCCAAATGCGAGAGATTGAGACGCTGCATAGGAACTCTTCGCTTCAGGAGGCTGGTAAGTATCGAAAATACACTTTGGATTTTCTTTAGTAAATCGTAATAATTTTCCAGGCACGTCACCTCTGAAAAACACTCCCGAAAAGTGGCGTGCCAGCGATGCGACCAAGAAGATTAGTGCCAGTGAAGCCACCACAAACAATGTGGATTGCTCCCAGCAACAGCAGCAGCAGCAGCGTATAACGTCAAACTCTTCTTCCTGCTCATCGGTGTCTTCCCTGGTGACCACGGCCACCAATTCGTCCGCTTCGGATACGTCGACCACCTCGTCCTCTTCCACATCGACGATATCGGCGGCACCGATTCCGGGACACCAGAGGAACGGCGATCTGCCGGGGAACATACTCAAGGCGGAGGAGATCACCAACTACTATCGCAAGGCCATCATTAACTACAGCAAATACAGCCGCGCAGCGACCATTGAAACGGAAGCGGCTCTGAAAGCCTCGCGAATTTGCATAGAACAGAATCGGCCTCTAGATGTGGCCATGTTCCTGCAGAATATGCTGTACATTAACCTGAGCATGAGCGAAGCGGAGCGAGTAAAGAGATTTGAGATTATTACGGAGCTATACCAGCAGATTGGATACCAAAGGAAGGCGGCATTTTTCCAACGACTGGCTGCACTGAAACATGTACAACAGGGCAGCCAGGCGCCGGACTGGAATCAGAGCTATCGCCTCATGTTGGGCAGCTTTACGGGGTATCTGCTATGTCTGGATCCTTTGGAGGTGCTGGAGAATGCAGCCGGCTGGCCGGCGCTGCAGATCGATCTGGTCCAGAGCCTAATAACAGCCGCCAGACGTTTGGGACACTCCGCTCTAGCCACCCGCCACATGACCTTCCTGCTGCAGACCCAGTGGGATAACATGTCGCCCACGGAGCAAAGCGAGATGGCTGTGCAACTGCAGGTAAAATAATTAAACCAAAAATAACTAAAGGCCCTAAGTTAATGGTGAATTCTTTCAGAATTTAAGTGCACAGTGTGAGGGATCACCTGTTCCTTTAGTGCTCGAGAATGGCACTGTGATACCGCCCGCCAACTTAACGGATCTGCCCTACTGCCTCGATCTACAGGTCAAAGATTTGCCCGCCCACCTGCGACCGCAGAGAATAAAGGTGGCCAAGGCGGATAGTGGACCGTTTCTTTTTACGCCCATACACTTTAATTCGGTCGACAGAAGGGACAAGAAAAAGGACAAAAATAAAATAGGTGAGCAGCTACAGTATATACAGTATCCTCCTTACTAACTTCCTTATTTGTTCAGCTTTCCAGTGGGTGCAAAACGATCTCAGTGAGGTCACCGTGCGCCTGCGCAATCCTCTGCCCTTTGAGCTGGCCGTGACGGACATGAGGTTATTGACGAACGGTGTCGTCTTTGAGTCTCTGCCCCAGACTATTGTTCTGCAGCCACATGTTCCCACGTATGTCGCGCTTCATGGAACGCCCATTGAGCCAGGACAGCTGGATCTGCAGGGCTACAGTACACACACGCTCGGCGTAAAGTCCAACTGCCGGCTGAAGCACATGCGGGGGCGCAGCTTTCCGCCCAACTACCTAGTGGATGTAATACCCGCGCTTCCTAAAATATCCGTAAAAACTTCCCTGCCCCAGACCGCGACGTTTGGCAACTTGAACAGTGCCGATATTGTAGTGACTTCCGCCAGCTTGACCCTTTACAATGGTGAATCCTCTAGCTGCACGATAACGATCACAAATGAGAGTACAACGCTGGCGTTGGAGCACCTGGAGGTTAACATCAACTCGAATGTGGAGCAGGAGCTGCAGAAAAAGATCTTTCGGATAGATGAAGAGGCTTTAAAGGTGAGATTAAAGCGCTAGAAAATAATTTATAGCTAATGGGTATACCATTTATTTTTCAGAGCAAGCTACCAGTGTCTCCCCAAAGCTCGATTGAAATTATATTGTATGTTTATGCCGAAGCGGACTTCGTTTGTCCCCAGCCACCAGCTTCGGTCCATTCGAGCGCTGCTGCCGGGGATTACGGTGCGGCGTCCCTTACGCACTACTCCAACATTTCCACCTCCGGACACGCCAGCTTGCCCTCGCGAGTCAGTTCCCCGCAACATCGTCGGCATGAGCCTCAAAACTCCAGTTTTCGTTCAACGTTCTCGGGCGGCCAGCCATCGCTAGCTGCTTTGAGTCTGCAGCCAGGCGGCGTAGGAAGAGGAGCAGGACCTTCCAGCCTTGGCTCGCAATATTCGCAGCACATTGAGGCACAAGTGCGATTAAAGTACTCCGGCGGAGAGGCTCTAACGGCCGGCTACTGCCGCCAGTGTGCGGTGTCTTTTAACCTAGAACTTTTGCCCAGCGCGCAGATAACGAGCTGGGATGTCCTTCCCGCTGAGGTGTAAGTGAAGATGCTATTCATTTTAGAATTACTTTTCATTTGATCCATCTTATATCCAGAGCCTCACAATTTTACCTGGTACTTGACATTTCCAACCTAACCGCTCAAGAGATGTCGCTCAACTATACGGACACCAAGAATATACTCATCGAGGCCGAAGAGAGCTGCCGGGTGCCCATACCAGTGGATCGTTGCTCCCTGGAGCAAGTGGTTGCTGCGCGGGCAGCCGAAGTAGCTGAGAATCTGGAAAGGGGTATGATAAATTCATTTTAAAAATAAGTTTATCAAGTAATGATGATATCCCCTGCCTTCTAGAACTCTGCTTTCGCACCCAGCTGTTGTCGTTTAATGATGCTTTGAGCAAACTCTGCTCAATTCACATAGCTGAACGTGTGAAAATCAATTGGCTGTTGACGGGAACAGATATTCAGGGAATCGCTTCCCTGCGAGGGATTGTTCTCACCCAGCCCATGGTCGATTTGACGGCTGTATCGCCTTTGGAGTGGGGTAAGCTGTTTGGAATCTTTATCAATTTCGTTATTATTATTTTTTCTAATTTTAGCCATCAGCCTCCAGGAGACGCCTGTGCAGCCGCACAGTGAGATCGTGTGCACGGTAGGCCAGCGTTCGCTGCTTAGCATCCAGCTGGCCAATCAATCCCTGCAGCCGCTCAGGAACTTGGTGTTGAGCATTAAGTTCTATCAGGATTACCTGAACGGAATGGAGAATTACAATTTGGAGACACGCGTGGCCATTTCAGGACCAAATAGGTGAGGAATATTCCATTCAGTCATTTAAAGAAATTTAATTTTATGTTAAATATCTTATATTTTTAACCCCTTAGAATTGCAATTCCCATACTAGAGAAGCAGGAGCAGAAACAGCACACTTGCTCTGTGATATTCTTTACGCCCGGACGCTTCAAGGCCAGCATAGAATGCACCAGTAATCCGCAGAAGCAGTCGGAGGCACTGCTAACCCGTTCCTGTCCGGCGGAAACCGAGAACGGCGGCCAATCAGTAATGTTCTCCTCCAGCTATGATGAGCAGCAGGTGCATGTTTGGAAGTTCATTCCGCCTATCGAGGTTACTGTCGTGGAGCAGTGAAATGTTAACTGTCGCTAGTTTAATTTCGTTATTATGTTTGTGTATGTATTGTGTATACCCACTCCTCCGCTCCCGTTAAATAGTTTGATTCTTGCTCTGTTATACCCGAAAATACGAAAAGCAATTGTTTGTAAAGAATTCTAAACTAGATACAAAATATAACGCATAACACTGTATATAACTAAGCTCAAACACAAAACATAAACTGTACCCTAAGCTTGATAGAGAAAATGGCCATAACATAAATCTAATAGAACCTATAGTCCATGCCTGTAAAACATATACATATTTAAACAAGCGTTACGCCGTGGTGTATTTATATAGATAGCAAATGTTCCGCGCACTAAAAGCCACGCCAAGCATTATACATTTTGATAACAAACTCGTATTTACAAAATATTTTTATACAATTACCGGGGCAATACACATGTATCATTATGAACTACAAATTAATATTGTTGCTAAAGAAATTATGCCAATGAATTGTGTGAATAACTGTAGTGTAAACGCAATAAAACCTATTTGACGAAAAATGGAATGTGGTCTCCTTCCGTTCTTAACCGAGTCTACGGATGTGGTCCATGGTGAACCCGTTTCGGTTGAGCAGAATGCTGAAAAGCACGTACACGTAGTAGCTGCCCGGGATGAAGGTCAATGCCCCGATAATGCCCAACGCCCACACGCGATCCGATCGCTCCCTGCTCGTGTCCGTCAGCCAGTTCAGAATGGCGAAGGCAATGCAGATCTAAAAACAAATAAAACAGGAAGTATTTATAACATAAATACATGCTAAATTTTATATTTTTGTGAGATTTAGCTTTTACCAATTAAAAGTATTCCAAAAACGAACTAGGTGCAGAAGCTGCATACATATATGTACATATATATATGTATATATATGTACCAAACAATCGAAGGATATTAATAATTATTACTCACTATCCCACCGATGAAAAGCAAGAGGATGATTGCAATGGTTTTCCAGGGGATAGGACCTCGGATCGCCGGTTCCGTCCACTGTTCGTTTACAAATCCATCCGTCTCGCAGGTGGACTCCACCACCTTGATATATTCCCCTTCTCCAGAGGCTGCTGGCGGTGAAATCCCCGCATTGAGACGACGACGTGAATCTGTTTTGGTGGGCTGCTGCATATTTGGTGTAGTCGCCGAACTTGACTGGCTACAAATTGCACAAAAATAAAGCGGCGATTTTATTGAATTTCAATGTTATCAGAAACAGCTGGCAGTGAAGCTGCCAACCTGGGCATAATATACAAGTACAGTAAACTGTAAATAAAATACATTAAATATTAAATGCCACATTTCCAGAATCAAGCACTATTATTCTGAATTAATATAAGAATATACCAAATTTTTAAGTAATTAGGTATGTTACAAAAATGAATGCTTAGTATTAAATCTTTTGCTACATTTCAAATTTGAATTTAAAAATGTTTTAATACTTTTCCCTGGCTTTATTTTATTAAATACTATGCTCATATGCACTTTTAAGTAACAACTTACATCCCGGATATTGCTTTGGGTGTAATGTTGATTCATATCTCTTGAAAAATGGCGGGAAATATAGCACATCTTTGTTTTAATAATCTCTGATAAAATCAAAAACAAATAATACATATCTATTTTTTATTTATTCATTTTTTCTGAAGTTTGGAGAAATTTAATTCTTATAATTTTGTTTTATGATATGAAAATGCAATTTCCGAAATTATTGATTTTCTTGATTCAATATCACTTATTAAAACTAGAAATAATTTCGGCAAAAGCAAAACCATATGGAAAATACAATACTGTATATATTTCGAGGATCGACCTCCTTTATATATTGGTTAGTAATTTTTCATTAGACTAGTTTTTATTATATGACTTTTGACAAGTCTGTTTTGTTTATTAAACTGATCGCATTAATTTTAATGATTGAACTTATTGAGCATCATTTATACTTAGATGAATTTGTACTTAAACAAAACAAGTTTAGCAACATTAAAAAAGTAGCCTTTAGTAAAATAAATTTATTTTTATTTATAAACGTTTAATTAACAACATATAGTTTTGTTTTAAATAATATCATCAAAGAATCCTTTTTTTGGTTACCATCCACAAAACTCTGTAAAAAAAAAACAAAAACCTGGATTAGGATATAAATGTAATTATAAAAAGCGTTATAAACAATATGAAATCAGTTCTACTATCAAGATAAATCATTCATAGACATCAGATGTCCCTATCATACGATCTCATCAGAAAGAAATAAAGAACTTATTTGAAAATAACACTTACCAATTAAAAATTAAGTTTTATTTTTATAAATCCTTCGAAAACTTGTTTAAGGGAAATCCATCTGGAAAACAAAAATATCTGTATAAGAACACATTGAATTTGAAATGCATTAAGAATTTAAACATATGCCATCAGTTCTACTATCAAGATAAATCAGTCATAGACATCAGATGTCCCTATCTTAAGGTCTCATCATAAATGTTATTATTAAATTCAGTTTATACTTAACAAAAAATAATACTTACAAAGCCTGGGTTCAATCGGTGGATTTATACGAAATTCCAATGAACTAACCTGAAAAAAATTAAAAATATCGGAATTAATACATCGCGTCATAAGTAAACATTTTAAATATAATTTTTACGGTCAGTTCTACTATCAAGATAAATCAGTCATAGACATCAGATGTCCCTATCATAAGATCTCATCATAAGAATCAAGGGTTTCAGTACCATAATTAATACTTACAAAGTCCTTAAAAAATCGGTCTTTTGGACTTATTCCAACAAATATATTCAGGTTCCCTGAAATAATTAAAAATTAAAGTAGTTAGTATTTTTCAAGATAGTGATACACATAAGGTATATCTATTTGTAAAATCAGTTCTACTATCAAGATAAATCAGTCATAGACATCAGATGTCCCTATCGTAAGGTGTCATCATAAAAAACGTGGAAATAAGTATTTTAAATGTTACTTACTTATAAGATACTTCTGGTACTTCTTGTATCAGGCAACCGCAATTCCATCTAAAAGAAAAAATATAATAATAAGTACGTTTCCAGATAAGACTACATTTATGACCCAGCTATTTGTTTAATCAGTTCTACTATCAAGATAAATCAGTCATAGACTTCAGATGTCCCTATCATAAGATCTCATCATGTTGGTTAAGATATATTTTTAGTCAAAATATTACTTACCATTAAAACGATTCATAATGTGTCCTGAGAGGTCTCGAAATGAGACTCTTTGGGCGATGGTACCACGCTGCCCAATAAAAACTTGTTTATTTCCAGATTCGTACATCTTTCAGGAAAATTTTCAACTTTCAGCTGTTAAAGAGATATTTGCCAATGGAATTGGTATACATTTCTCGATGTCTTCTTTTTAAAATCATCTTTATTTTAATTTATGTTTCTATTGATTCGCAACACGTGGTGTGGTTCCTATCTGGTGTTTTAAACTGTGACTGTCGCAGTGCGACTTCTCTTGTGCTCGTGAAATTAATAAAAATAAAATACCAACTTCGATTTATTCGGTATTTTTTGGTGTCTTTCGGGTGGCGCCCCCTTTCCAAGATTAATTTGAATCTGTCGGTTTTTCTATATTTTTATTATATAAATAGATATTGCGATTCGGACGCCGTTGCGGATACATAACTTGGTCTAAACACTTCTAACTCTCGCATCCTAATTGGCCAACAAATTAAATTGCTTATTACTTATGATTTACATGGCAGTCGATGACCTTGCATGTGACTAATCTGAATCAACAAAACTAATCTCACTCGATACAAGCTGTCATAACGCGAAAAATAAGGCATTTTGGGGAAAAGTATTGAGTTGGAACCATAAAAAGAGAGATGATTACCATGCCTTTTTCCCTTTTGAACATATAATTCATGTAAGTGGATCTTTAAAAAAAATATTTGGATGAAAACAATTGCCAGTAATCTAATTTGATTAAATAAAATTTGATCGTGTTATGTTTCTTCAACTATAATCGATTAGGAGTTGGGAACAAGACAAAAATGGCTGATTCTCTTTTTATAGTTACAGGTTTAAGGAGCCCTTACAGAGTATAATCATATTTTTTGGGTTACGACAGTCTTGCGTTGAGTGAGCTATCTGTATACTAAGTGTGTCCCAGGAAACTCATGGGTCCCCTGTGGATGTGGTTGCCTCCAGCGCCTGCTGCTCCTGCTCCAGTTCCTGCTGCTGCGCCAGTCGCAGACGCTTCTTAGCCTGGATGTCGGCTAGCGTTTGTTCGATGGAACGCATGTCCTTCTTGTTCTTACTGGGTACGAATCCGTAGCTTTGGTTGGTCTCCGTCTTACGGGCCGCCTGCAATGCGGCCGACTCTCCGATGAGGTGGGCGTACTTGGCCTTGTAGTTGGTTGTGGGCTTAACTTCGCTGGAGTCATGATCGCCGGAAGTGGATGAGGATGTGCAGTTCGCCGCCTCGGAAATTGAGGCCTCCTTGTCACTTTGCTCCTGCGCCAATCGCTCCCGCCGTCGCTCGGCATACTCCTTGGCTATCTCCGCATTCCAGCCATCGCCATTTCGTCTGGCCGTGACCTCATCCTCACCGGGAGCATGCTCCTTTTTGTACACAACAGAATGCCGGTCCACATCCTCGCGGCCGAAGCTCATGGCAATGAAACCGCCATTTTCGGCTATCTCGTGTATCACTGAGCGATGCACCTTGTCCAGCGGCTGGAACTCGATGCTTTGTCTGTCGTCCTTGGCGAATCTTCCCATCCGTTCGTCTACATACTTCCGGAAACGGAGGAGCTCCTCCTTCTGTTTGTTCTGCATCCGCTCCATCATTTCGCGTTGTTTCTTGATCATCGTCTTCTGCTGCTCGTTGTTGGCAGGCGGGGCATCCATGGCATTGAGTATCGTGTCGAGCAGGTCCATTTTCCCGCCGCGTTTCCTCGCTTTTCCGTCGTGTTTTCCTTTCCTCACTCGCTGTTGTTGATAAAAAAAAAGAAGTGCGTAGGAATCTTGGTTAAACGGGCGGTTCGCTCATTGTGGGTTTCTCGGAGACTTACCACTCTCTGGCGATTATTATTAGCCCGTTGGGGTGTTCGATTCACGTCGATTTGCTTGTTTGGTTCGGGTAAAATTAATTATAATTTTATATTGGCAACCGGTGCTTGTGCACCAAAAATACTCTGCGAAAAATACCGAAAATAGTGGATGCCAACTCGGTCGTAATTGCGGTATTTTAGTATTTTTAAATTACTCAACAGCTGTTTACACTTAGCGGGAGACACAAATTTTAAAGTTCGTTAATTACACGTTGAAAATATTGAAAATCTTTTAAGTATAAAACAAGTTTATACTAATATATTCAACAGTAAACTGTCACATTATGGCGTCGATGAATAACCGGTGCGTCCATGAGTCCAGTCCTCTAGGTGTTCAGTCTCAAAAGCATAAAATTTATACACTCACACATTTATAGTTCATTAATTTAATGTACTATATATGAAACATATTGATACAAAATGTTAAATATTTTAGGTGTTCTTAAAAGAATTTATTTATAGTTTTAGGCGAAACATACTGCAATTGAAAAACCAAATACAACAATTTCTACCTTATATGAAAGCTTACTCTTGCAGCGTAGTGTAAATGAGTTCAGTAAAAACAGTTGGCAGGTCTTGTGAGGCGCTTTTGTATTTGAAAAACATTTTACTCGTTAAATCTATCTAGATACCGTTTTTTAATTACGGACACGTGTTACAATGTGTGCAGAACGATCTACACTGGTTCACTGGTTTCGCAAAGGCCTCCGGGTGCACGACAATCCCGCTTTATCGCAGGTTTTCACTGCCGCCAACGCAGCACCAGGTCAATTTTTCATTCGCCCAATATTTATATTGGATCCTGGTATACTCGATTGGATGCAGGTGGGCGCCAATCGGTGGCGATTCCTGCAGCAAACGCTAAATGATTTGGATCAGGAGCTGCGGAAACTAGATTCCCGTCTGTTTGTGGTGCGCGGCAAGCCCGCAGAGGTTTTCCCCCGGATCTTCAAGAGCTGGCGTGTGGAGCTCCTGACTTTTGAGACGGATATCGAACCTTACTCCTTGGCCAGAGATGAAGCCGTTCAAAAGTTGGCCAAATCAGAGGGTGTCAAGGTGGAAACCCACTGCTCTCACACTATTTACAATCCGGAATTGGTTATAGCCAAGAATCTTGGCAAGGCTCCCATTACATATCAAAAGTTTCTGGGCATTGTGGAGCAACTTAAGATACCCAAAGTTCTAGGAGTTCCAGAGAAGTTAAAGAGAATTAATGACCCACCCAAAGATGAAGTGGAGCAGGAGGATTCAACGGCATATGATTGTCCTACCATGGAACAATTGGTCAAACGACCAGAGGAACTGGGACTCAATAAGTTTCCCGGAGGTGATTACGTTTATTTAAAAAAGTGTAGGTTCCTTTTTTATATTATACATAATTAAATCATCCAGGTGAAACAGAGGCCCTGCGCCGCATGAAGGAATCATTAAGCGATGAACTTTGGGTGGCCCGCTTTGAGAAACCCAACACGGCACCCAATTCCCTGGAGCCCAGCACTACTGTACTGAGTCCTTACCTAAAATTTGGATGTCTCAGTGCACGATTGTTTCATCAGAAGCTGAAAGAGATCCTCAAGCGCCAGACAAAGCACTCGCAGCCTCCTGTATCCCTAATTGGCCAACTGTTGTGGAGGGAATTCTACTACACAGTGGCGGCTGCTGAACCCAATTTCGATCGGATGTTGGGCAATGTCTACTGCCTGCAGATACCATGGCAGGAGCAGCCAAAACACCTAGAGGCCTGGACGCATGGACGCACCGGTTATCCTTTCATCGACGCCATAATGCGACAGTTGCGCCAGGAGGGATGGATCCATCACCTGGCTCGGCATGCGGTGGCCTGTTTTCTCACACGCGGAGATCTATGGATCAGCTGGGAGGAAGGGCAGCGGGTGTTTGAGCAGCTGCTGTTGGATCAGGATTGGGCCTTGAACGCTGGCAACTGGATGTGGCTCTCCGCCTCTGCATTCTTTCATCAGTACTTTCGCGTCTATAGCCCCGTGGCGTTTGGCAAGAAAACGGATCCCCAGGGGCACTATATCAGGAAGTATGTGCCGGAACTCTCGAAATATCCAGCTGGCTGTATTTACGAGCCCTGGAAGGCCTCGCTAGCGGATCAGCGTGCATACGGTTGCGTCCTGGGCACAGATTATCCCCACCGCATTGTTAAACACGAAGTCGTGCACAAGGAGAACATTAAGCGGATGGGTGCCGCCTACAAAGTAAATCGCGAGGTGCGAACGGGCAAAGCGGAGGATTCCCTTGAGGAGAAGCCAGAAACCTCCACTACAGGCAAGCGGAAGGCGCTAAAGGCATCCGGAAATGCCCCCAAGCGAAAACGTTAAAATTTAAATATGTATGCTACCCTAAGTAAGTGGTGGGTATGTACTATATAGTATTTGTTAATTGGAATTTTAAGTTGAATAAAATTTAAAATAATTAGGTATAAGTACATTTTGCATGTTATCCCCTGAGGATTTTTGTTAGTTTCTTAATTCTACCTAAACTAGGGTAGTATAGTACCACAATTAATTTGACTTAAAATGTAATGGTACTTAATTGAAGCTACATATTTCAACATATTTATCATTATTTTAAATATTAGTTGTTTCTTGGAAATCTTATTCCATAGATTATCTGTAAAGCCATTACTAGGCTCCTTGGAATCTAATTATAAAATGTTAAAAAGCCTGTTGAATTTTAAATAAAATATATATATGGACCAATCTTATTGTTAAAATAAATAAACTTATTAAGAAAGTGCAAAAATATATGAACTTGTTTTTAAACATATAACATTATTTAATATAATGGAAGATTTAATGGAAACAAACACCTGTTTACAAACCCTTTAAAAAAAGGTTTTAAGAGGTTTAATGTTTATTCTCCTTATCAGAATAAACATTTTCAAAAACAATTTGGCCTTGGAATTAACTTCTTCCCCATTCGAGCTGTGTCAGTTGTTGAGCCAAGTTGTGAACTTCAGTCATATCAAAAATTTCGGCAACTCAAGACCTTCGATTTTTTGTTTGTAAAAACCGTAATTTTTTAAAATTTCAATTTTGAATTTTTGGTGTGATAGGTGTTTAATTCCAAAACTTAAACCCATCGATTAAAACCATGTTTCGCAACTTGTCGGTGCTAAGGAACAAGCTGGCGCTGCAGAGGATTCTCGTTTCCCGCTTGACCTCGCGCTCCAATATGTCCACTGGACGTACGTGCCTCACCTTTAGTCGTCCGAGGAACATCGATGGCGTGACCGTGATAGATATTAATATGAATGATATGGCCAAGAATGACGTCGAATTCAATCGTAATTTCGTCAATTCGTTGACATCGATGGACACCCCCCTTTTCCAGGATGCAATTCAACCAAAGAGCACGGATGTTGTCGAGTCACCATCGACGGAGGACTCTGTTCCCGCTACCACCGTAGAAATCCTGCCAGCTGGTGCACCCAGTTCGGTACTAGACGTTGACGGCAATCCCATTGTGCCCATCGAGATCGATGGCTGGAATCAGGACGAAGAGGATCCTACCGTGCAGAAGAACAGCAAGGATGTGGACATTGGCAGTGACGAAGAGTACAAGGCTGAGATGGCTCTACGGGTGCCAGAGATCAGGGAAGCCCAGACGGAGTACAAAGGCATCAAGGTGAAGCTGCCGGAGACGGCTAACCAGGATGTGGGCACTTATCGGTTCCGTCGCGACTCCCAGGATCTCAAGGAGGTTGGTGATGACACGCGCCTCGTCCGGTTCGACAAGAAGTAGACGAAACTCGACTTCCGCTCAAAATTGTACCTACTATCTTTATTTTGCGTTATCTTAACTACTAATGATTTAAAAATTTGTCTGGGTCTACTGGTCGACTTCCATGTAAACCTTTTCCAATTTTTTAATAAAGTCGGCCATTACATATTGAATGAATTTGTATGAAGAACTGGGTTCAAAATGAGTCAGCAATACCTTTTAATGTAACCTTGATCTAACATAGCTCTACTGATATAAATTTAATTGGTTTTATACGCTTATAAAAGAATTCTTACATGTAGAAATTTGATATTTATGGTTCATAAATGCTACATTATTGTTTTGTGACAAATATATTGAGATTCCATCACAAGATCTTTCAGAAATCTTGGAAATCTGTAAAATATTATAACCATAAGTTTGGTCCAATGACCTTGAATTTAAAAGCAAAACAATCACAATCATCAGTCAAGAAAGGAGGTTATGATTTTGAAACAAGCAAAAAATTAAAAACGGCCAAGAAAAGCAAATATTTATGAGAAAATTAAGCAACAGTTTTAAAATCGATTTAATAAAATTAGTTTAGAAATACGATGATGTGTAAAATTAATATTTTTGTTCAGGTGGTACGGTGGCGACGTATCTAATTGTTTTAATACGTTTCTGGCATACATCTAACAATTATAGACGCATTTTTAATTAACTAAGTCGTATTAGCAATAGAATAGAGAAAAATCTAGAAAATAGAGATTAGATTACTTATTTTAAAGCAGTTTTTATTTATTGATTTATTAATTTTCGGAAAATTTGGTAAACGAAATTCCTTCGCGGACGAACTTCAATATTGCCAAGTCCCGGCAAGTACCCGATCTAGATACAAATGCAATATGCAAAATTGGGAAATTGTTCCCAGTTCGCTTGATGACTATTATCCTGGCCGACAGTGATGCGGACATGGCCACTAAGAACTGTCAGTTGGTGCCCGGTCATGCTTAAATGAAAATCCAACTATTGACCACGACCACTATTTTAACTCAACCCAGTCCGCTCTCCATATCACAAAAGATCGTTTTGTGGTCAATGGCAACCGAAACCGGGGCAAACACTTCCCATAAATTGCATTAAAAGCGGGCCAGGAGCGAAAACTACTCGTAACAATGCAGCGGACATAAACACGCTGCAAAATGTTTGTAGGCTCTAAACCAAAATTGAATTTGCGGTTTTGCCTGCGGGGGCGTGGCTGTGGGCGGGGGCGGGGACGTTGTTTGGTGGGCGGTAAAAGTGTGTGCAGGTGGGACATTGCAAATAACTGTAAATGAAGCTAAAGTGCGGTTGGCCGAATGGGGATGCAATAAAAAAGAGCGAAGTGGTAGAACGGTCAACAAGATTGATTATAATCAATATAGACAGTGGCTGAAACTCGATGCAAAATTTTCTTTTATCAAAATTCGTAAAATAATAAAATATATATTTTGTATAAACTAGTTAAATATAACCAAATTAAGAGCGTATGTACCTTAAAATTGTGCGGTCTGATTACCTTTTGGAAGGGCTAAATAAAGAACAACACTTAAATTTTTTTTTTCATTCGTTTAATTTGTTTTAGTAATAACTGTAAAGGTCGTTGTCTTCATTGCTTTCAGTTTTTTCCTCGCAAGTTTTCGAATTATGAAAAATGTTATTAATTTTTGTTTTATTTGCAAACTTGTAGGCCATTTGGAGAGACTTTTTCTGTCTTTGATAATACTTAATACACTTTTTATCCTTTTTAGTATCTTTAATTAGCTCATTAATCGTGTCTATGCGATTTTTAATTTTCTTTTCCAAATACTGGCGACGATCATCATAGAGCAAAAATTCAGCATACAGCTTCATTTTTTCCATCATTGAGTTTCCCATGTTAACTTTGTAAAGTTTTTTAATCCACTGCGCAAATTCAGCATTTCCAGTGGATAAATATTTATATTTTTCCACAATATATTCTAGTTTCTTTGTTGCGTTTGCATTTTCGTGCTCAAGTGTTTTGCCTAGGACTATTGGAGGTATCTTTATATGAGTTGAAAATCTATTATTTTTTGTACTTACTGTTGCCAATATTTGCCAATAGAAATAATGCTATAATTTTCATATTGCTAATTCGAAAAGCTAACTAAAACTGACTTGTAATATAAGTTAGCCTACAAGTATTAAAAAGTGTAACAAAATGATTCGAGACGCTATTATATGACCGACATCGCAAATAGTTTTATCTTAAATGATTTAGCTTTACGAATAAAAGATTCTTCGGTTTTAATTAAGCTAATAAATAACCCCATCTGGCTCAAGAGACGTAATAAATGGTACATAAGAGAATATAATTTGATTCAATTGTATTGGATATTAAGTACAGTTTATTGCCAAAATGTAAACAGCTTTAATTATTATACTGCTTATATATAATTTTCATGAATACATGGATTTTTGAAAAATCAAGCATTGTTTTGGCTTTAGTAATAATCATTAAAATTTTCATTATCATCTTTTTTGCTTTCATTTTCATTATAATCTTCATAGGGATCTTGTTTTCTTTTTTTTCGAGCTATGATTGAACATGGTCCACCACTTTCAATCAAAATGCGTTGCTTCCTATCATTGTGCAATTTATATGCGCCTTGCACTAAGCTTAGCTTTTTTTCGTAGTGCATAACACATCGTTTACCTCCTGTTTTCAAGCGAATAAGAGTTTTGAGCTCGTTAATGCGCTCAGTAATTCTATCTTCTAGCTGTTTACGGTCCTCATCGTATGCCACAAATGTATGTAGTTTTAAAAGTCTTTGAAAAGTGTCGTAGTCTTTATCGGTGTAAATATGGAAAAGGTCTTCTATCCACTTGGTGAGTTCAGCGTTTCCAGTAGCTTTGTTTTTATACTTTTCAACATAATCTCGCATCCGCCGGTTAGCATTGTTGATAAGAATTTCAACTTGACATAGGACTGTGAATTGCGTCGTATTATTTTCAAATATGTAAGTCTAGGGCTTATTAAGTACTACTCACTGCAGCCAAGATTTGCCAATAGGATTACTGCTATGATCTTCATCTCGCAGAGTAGTAACGCTAATTGAAACTTACATTCCAAAGATGATAGAATTTAAATGTTGAGTTTAAAGAATTGGCTCACAGGGTGTAACAAAACAATTCGGCAAGCTAGATATTCATCCATATCAAAGTCGAGATTTCGGAAACTGCGATCTAAGAGCTAGAGATTTGAGATTTAGCATGAAGATCTAATTACTAAGATATGGTCAACGGATCCAGTCTCTTCCGACTCTTAAATTGCGTGTGATAGAAACAAAACTTTTGGAGAAGTTTTGTCCAGAATGCTTTCACATATGTAAGCCGAAATACGGATTTTACCGAAGAAGAACTGGCAGAAAGGAGTATACATGTCAAAACCATCTACACCAATATCCCTCCGACATGGAAATGGTGGCAGTTTGCGCCTGGAAATGATGTGGTTGGTTAGTTGCCCTGATGACGTTGGGCATGGAAATGACGACTGGCTGACGGAAAAACTTTTTTTCGGGCCCGGCCAAGTTGTAACCGTAAATGTAACTACAGCAGTTAAAGTTTGGCCCGTCGGCAGTGGGTCAGACATCCGACATCCAGACATCAGACGCCAGACCACTGAAGTTTTTAAATGAAAATGCCCTAGCCAACAAATTGCTAGCCAGCGGTATTTGTGCGGTTTTAAAATAGAGCCGATTTTAGGGTTTATAAGCAGATAAATTTGAATATGTGCGGGGGTTTCGCGTTAGGAATTATTTTTCACAGAAAGAACGCTTTCAAATGACTTTTATAAACCTTTTTAGGTACTTAATCCATCAGTATTATTACATTAACTAACAAAAGGCTTATGCAAGATGAGGCTGTAAAAAAGTTTTTGTTGGACTTACCTTAAAATTGATTATTATAAATTAATTATGATTTCCAAAATGTTATTTAAAAGCATTAATAATTTTAAGACTGTTATATGGCACAATATATTTGGAATCGGGGCTGTTCATATAATTATAAAAAAAAATGTTTAATCCTGCAGTCAAAACAATCGATAAGTCAGCCAGACGAGATGCAATCAAAGCAATCAGCTTCAAATGGACCGCTCGGGTGCCACGCCCCGATGTGCCACTCCCCTTCCATCCTCCCCAAAACCGGAGGCCATCAACATCATCATTATCATTACCGTTATCATTGTTGGTCGGCTGGCATTTCCGCTGGGCCGGAGAGTTGGCCAAGGGCCATTACTGAAGTTGACCAACTTTTAATACCCGCACTGGCCATGTTGCGCATGTGTAATCCCATTAAAATCCAATAAGTTAAATTATTTCCATTATTATTGTGTGAACGCACTTTGTCGCCGTCCGTCCATCAGTTCATCCGCCCCCTCCGCCTCCTCCGCCAGCCAACCTCTTTTGTGTCCTGCGTGATAACTGTTCATGTGGGCGTTTATCTCTCGTATGGCTTTTGTCGTCCACTCCTGTATCCCACCACACCTCTACACTCAAAAGAAAAATTCTTTTACATTTTAGAAATTTTTAAGACCTCACCATTTTTGTGGTTAATTTATAAACTTGAAACAAAACAAGAATTATCTGAATAGATGACTGTTCTGCAGATTATCTTAAGAAATTTGAGCCAGAAATTAAATACATGGTTGGTTTCTTAAATTAAAAAGCAGATGGGCTGTCAATAATTTAAAGTTGAGAAGTTCTTTAATTTTTAGAAAATATTTTCCTATATTTTATAAATAAATGACATAAAAAGCTTTACTATTTTTTTAGATAGCTATTAATATTAAACAAAAATGTTGTTCTTCCTCAGTTTTGATTTCAAGTTATATATATAGAATGAATCTTATATAAAGAGAATGAATTTAAAAACATGAAAATAGTTCGAATAGATTTTTCGGTATTTTTCTATTTAAGTGTAAGGTTTTGAAACCCGGCGGCAGCACTTTTGACCAATATCTGCAACACTTCAAACGCTGCTGGCTGTTTCTGTTTCATCTCCGTTGTCCGAGTGCGGTCACGCCCCCATCCTCCATCCTCCGCCCTCCCTCCTCCTGTCCCCTGTTTGTTGGCCATTAAATTGCATTACGTTCGTGCAATCATAATGATTGCCATTGCCATTGCCGTTGTTGTTTCCATTGTGTCGAGTAATTTGCGTATATTTTTTAATTACTTGGATGCTGGCTACGAAGCTTAAGAGCCGGTGAAATGTCGATGGGACTTAACTTAAATAATAGATTTCATCAATGTCATCAGTCTCCTTAGATGGTTCTTAATATAAAGAAAATCGTTATGATACATTAAGCTGTTTTCATACAATTTTAATTAAATAAAAAAAAATGATCAAGATCGTTATTAATCGAACTAAAGATATTATTTAAATAATGCGGTAATGTATCCAATATTATATTTTTAGTGTCTTAAAAGTAAAGTAACAATATATAATCCCCACCCATCTAACCAAAACTTTTTTTGATTATTAAAATAATTTGAATTTCATTGACCAACAAAAGCTGTGCAAAGTTCTGCCCGAAAACAATCTTTTCAAACTTGCCTAACAAGGATTACAAGGTAAAGTCCAGTCAAACAACTCCTTTAATTTTCCAACAAATAGGTATTACAAGGAATTGAAAACTCGACCGGACCAAGCCCTTTGATAACAGGCTTACAATGGCATCGTTAATGGGTCCACTGGACGGATGCAATCACCATCAATATCCAGCAATCAATACTCGATGAGCCAATCGAATGCAAACCAGACCATAAATGCCTGTGAGCCACTTGAAAGTCATCAAGGCTGTTATCTAATGGAATTCTTAAACTTTTGCCGGCCATTTCCCTCCCATTTTTCCCAAACCAAAAGGTCCATAATTAAACATGCAACGCATAATGGTGCTCTAATGGCTAATGAACGGGGTGGCTTGGGTGGTTAGAGTTGGAATGCAAGATGCCAGGCGGTGTAAAATTAGCATTTTTCCCTGTTTTGCCCCGCTCTTCGCCACGCCAATGGAATTGAAAATTAACTCATTAAACTCGACGGCGGCCAACGCGTCGTATACGTAATGCGGAAAGATCTTGCCAAAGATTAATGATTTTCCAAGTGACAGAGGAAGAGGTGGAAAAGTGGAGATATAGATCTCCCGGTGGCGAGAATTTCCATGCAATTATTTTCATATCAACTTCAATGCGCCGTGAAAAGTCTCGCGCGACGAGGAGCAATGAAAAACCGATTTGCTGTTGTGACAATTGTAATTTTTCACTCGCTTGGTTTCATTGTCCGAGTTAAACTGATGGTGCCACTGGCAGTGCCACTGACACAGCCACAGCCACTTCCTCAGTTCCTCAGATAATCAGAGGTTACTTTTCCTTCTCTGAATTTTATTTAAATGATTACGGTTTTTCATTTCCCTTTTGCAGTCGTTTTTTGTGTTTTTTTTTTGTGTCTCCGTTCGGCGACCATCACGTGAGGCATAAATTTTTCATCAGACGGGCGGCTCGTCTTTCGGGTATATTTTGCACTCCATTGGCATCTGGTATGGGGGTGATGACCAATTGGTTTTATGACCCATTCCGGCCCACTTATTTCCTCCTGTTTATGTTGGCGAATTTCCTTTTACGAGCCCCTTTCATTTCAATTTATTTTGTTAATCAATTTCTGTTCGTATATGCCGGAGAAGTCAGGCCTAAAACAACATCTTAAGACGTATTTCTTGGTAAAAATGAGAAAGAAAAGAATAAAAGTTGAAATATACCAGAAGATTGGAGTTTTTTCAAAACCTACAGTCGGTATTTTTTGACAAAAAATGTAAGTGTTGTTAAGAATCGATTAAAAGAGTAAATAAATTAGAGAAAACCATTTAATAAAAACTGTTAAATGTTATCTTATGTTTGAAAAAGGTTAATGGGTTTTGCGTTGGTTTCTCAAATTGCCAAATTTGATTTCATTTAAAATTAGCTGACCGCAAATTGAACGATTAAACTAACATATACCAATAAACATTCGTCAAATATACTCCAAAGTTTGGTTTAAAATCTAGCTCGTATAAATATATTTTTGCTTTGCGGTTTGACCAAAAACTCGGCACATGTCAATTATGCAAATCCACTTTTCGCTTATATGGCCTCAACAAAATTCTCCCAAATGTTCCGAAATGTTTTTATAAATTCATTAGAAAATAAGTTTCAAGTAGACCCCTTGTGCGGCCTGATACTTTACCTCCTGCTGGGCAAAAATGACTGTCTAATTTGATTTCCTTCTCACCAAACAAAATTTGTTGCAAACTACAAAATGATAAGTTGAAAGTTTAGTTAGATTAGGTTGGGTTTGGGAGAAAAAAAAGGAAGGAAAATAGTTGTAAAAATGAACAAAAGTTGTGAAATTTAAATAAAATGAAATTATATTAAAGAGCTTAAAGGGGAAGTAAAAACATATTAAATTATTAGTAATGAAGTTTTATAGCTTCAATAAGGCACAGTTTGTTAGTCTAATAAACATATTAAACAGTGTTAAAAGTAAAATTATTAGATAAAGTACAAAAAGTTCACATTTTATATTTTAATAATCAAAATGAAATCTTCACTAAAAGCTTTACCTAAAATTTTGGTTGCTGCATATTTCGACAAGGCGAAATCATACAGATAATTTCAAAGTAAATTTCAATTACCGAGTGAAGGGCATTTATAAAATATGAGCCAGATCCGTGACCGGACCGCAGACATGATACAAAAGTAAATGCAACATTTTTCGAAATATCTCCTATTCCCCCGCAAGCTCGCAGCTCTTTTGTTGCCATTTCTGAACGACCGCAAGCCAGTCCCCAAACATTGGCCCAAGGACCAAAGGACCAGAGGAGCGAGGACCGGTCCCGGTGATGGGGCACTGAGTAATATTTATTATCACAAAACATTTGTGCAAATGTCCTGCTCGCATAAGCAACGACGTTGTCGGCCAGTCCTTGGAGAACATTTATCTTATTATCTTTGCATATAGCGGCGGCAGCAATAGCAACAATGTCGCATAAATAAGACTCAGCGCAGCAACAACAATGCGATGATGAG